ATAAGAAAGAGCTAGGGTTACCCACCGCGTGAATGGCTGGGAGGAGCAGAACGTAGTGTGATCAGCGACGCTGCCAAGTCTCGAAGCACTCAATCGACGTCGTCGCATGCGCCGAGATACCCATTTCCCTGGAGCTTGGCTTGCCGAAGCCCTGCAAAGACGGGTGCGAAGCTCTAAATCGTAGTCTTACTTTCGGCATCGCCTACCCGCCCAGCCTTTGCCCAGTCACCGGCTGGTGATAAGACGGGCATTGCGAAATAGTCCCTTGATGCTGTATGGGTCAACCGCCGGCTTGGGCTACTAGCTAGATTCCACCAATTCCTGGAAACGAGGGTGGAGTGTATCCACATAGGACACCTGCTCGAAAGAGAGACAGTCAAGGAATACCAAGACGGCGCTTGGGATGAGCAGATTTGCCGCTTCTGTGTCACTGTAAGGATGCTATAAGTATAATTGCGGTCGTGTGCCCAACCCTTGCGGTTCAGCAGCAGCTCATTCTTTTGCACCGCCCATATTTTTCCGTGCCTGCTAATCATGTCGGCTAACGCTGCCTCGAACGCCGTGGACATGGCCATGTCTAATGAGCCTAACAAGGCTGCCATGCCTTTGTACGAAGTCGACGAGAAGCGTGCTCTTTCGGACGACCACACGCCGTCGACTCTCAGCCACCAGCCTCATGGTGTTGACGTTTTCGAGGCCGACTTGGAAGGCGAAGAGCCTACGGAAGATGAGTTGAAGACACTCCGCCGTGTATCTGGAAAGATTCCATGGACTGCCTTCACTATCGCTTTCGTCGAGCTTTGCGAGCGGTTTGGTTACTACGGGTGCCAGGTTTTATGTATGTTGTCGCTCGTCCCTACACAAGAACAAGCCACTGACCATCTCGAAGACACCAACTTCATTCAACAGGACCTGCCCGTGATTGATGGTGTTCCACAAACCACTGGCAAGGACCCTCGCTCAGAGGGTCAACCAGGCGCGTTGGGCATGGGACAGCGTGCATCCTTCGGTATCGGTCAATTCAACTCTTTCTGGGCTTACAGCACACCCATCATCGGTGCCATTATCGCCGACGAGTACCTTGGTCGCTTCAACACCATCTTCATCGCCATCGCCTTCTCTATCTTGGGTCACATTCTGCTCATCATCTCCGCCATTCCCGCTGTCCTCACCAGCGGCAATGCCATCGGTCCTTTCATCCTTGGTGTCATCACCCTCGGTTTCGGTACCGGAGCTTTCAAGGCCAATATCTCGCCTTTGATTGCTGAACAATACCGCCAAACCAAGCCCCGTGTCATCAAGGACCCCAAGACTGGCGAGCGCGTCATCTCTGACCCCAACATCACGCTCTCTCGTATCTTCTTGTGTATGTTGTCCCCAATGTGATGTTGTAAGCAATTTACTAACATACTCCCAGACTTCTACATGTTCATCAACATTGGTTCCCTCACCGGACAAATCTCCATGGTCTACGTTGAGAAGTACGTCGGCTTCTGGTGCGCGTGGCTGCTACCCACCATCATGTTCTGCTTCTGCCCTATCGTCCTTTGGGTCTGCAGAAACAAGTACATCCGCACTCCCCCCACTGGTTCCGTCCTCATCCGCGCCTTTAAGGTCTTGAAGCTCGCTACTAAGGGCAAGTGGTCTCTCAACCCTGCGACTACCCGCAAGAACTTTAAGAGCGAGCGTTTCTGGGAGGACGTCAAGCCTAGCCACCTCGGTGCGAACAAGCCTTCCTGGATGCAGTTTGACGACGCTTGGGTTGACCAGGTTGCTCGTGGCCTGCGCGCGTGCTCTTGCTTCACCTGGATTCCTCTTTACTGGTTGAGCTACAACCAGATGAACAACAACCTCACGTCTCAGGCCGCTACAATGACCCGTAACGGTGTTCCCAACGATGTCATCACTAACCTCAACCCCATCTCCCTGGTCATCTTCATTCCCATCGTTGACAACTTCCTCTACCCCGCTCTCCGCAAGGCAAACATCCGCTTCACTCCCATTAAGCGCATCGCCTTCGGTTTCATCCTTGCATCTTTCGCGATGGTTTCCGCTGCCGTCATCCAGCATTACATCTACGCCGAGGGCCCTTGCGGCGAATACATGAACAGCTGCGACGACCCAGCCCCGATCAACGTCTGGACCCAAGCCGTGCCCTACATGCTTGTCGGTTTCTCCGAAATCTTCACATCGATTACTGGACTCGAGTTTGCGTTCACAAAGGCACCCAAGAATATGCGGTCGCTCGTGACATCGTACTGGCATTTCATGTCTGCCTTCTCCAATGCGCTTGGTCAGGCGTTTGTGTCACTGTCCGAAGATCCGTTGTTGGTTTGGAACTACACGACTGTTGCTATTCTGGCGTTCATCGGTGGCATCCTCTTCTGGTTCCATCAACGCAAGACAGACAAGCAGGAGGACATTCTTAACATGCTTCCAGACTCCAACTACATGGGCAAGGACCGAAGGCATAGTGTTGCTGGTGCTGAAGAGGCTATCGCTGGCCACAATGTCGAGGCGCATGTTCGCACCTAGATTTAGTCGTTGGCGGTATTATGCTATACGTCGACGTTTATGAATGCGGCTGCCATGAGTGGCTGTGTGTATGGAGCAATTATATGATCGAAGATACCTATCTGGCTTGAAAGCTGGTTAATACATGAGACTTTTACCCAGCTCAAACATCTCTATAATCTTCTGCTCTTGTATTGTGACACGAAGCCCAGCCAATCACGAACTAGCTACTGATGTGCTATGTACATGCACGCTTTACCTGGTATTGTCAATACTGCGTCGACATCATATTCCACCTTCTTCCCAAGTCGTCTCCGCGGTCACGCCCTTGCTAGTCTATGACCAGTGTCTTCAGAAGCGGGGCATTAGTGAGCAGGGACGGCAACCTTCAGGAATTGATAACGCATGACGAAAAACATAACATCATAAGGCCACGAAGAACCGACTTCAGAGATCATATAGCCGTCGAGGCATGCATGTAAATGCGTTGAGTTACGGAGCGAACTGGTATTTGAAGTAGGATATACGACTTGATGTGCTCAACACCGACACGAAAGCAAATACTTATGCCTTCTACTGCTATTAGTTAAGCTGTGCTCACGCACCATGGCTCCCAAGTCGTGTAGACTATTCGTTGCTCTGTCTTGCCGTTACAACTTCGTCGTAGTCCATGTCGTACTCGCCGGCTTGACAGGTCAGGCTCGTATAGAATCTTCAACCAGGTCGATATGACGGGAAGAAGCCCTAGTATCCACACCGTGTACGTCTCTAGTCTTCCCACCCATCTCGTGTGCGTACATTCACCACAGAGCAAAGACAAGAACAACACTGTACTCACATTCCGTCGTTGTTTCTATCTTGATTGGGCCCCACGTAGCCATGCTCACATCTTTCCGGATGGTAGTCGATGTACTTAAGCACGGCAACGATACTGGTGGGTAACTTCTCATAGTCGGCTAACGGTCCGCCCCCTTGGTCAGGCGGAAGAGGGCAACCCGCCTCCATGCAATCATCTGGATCGGCATGAAGATGAGATCCGATTGGACATTTATAAGCGCCTTGGCTAGTAATGTTTGCTTCAAAGCAAGAAACAAGCTCAACGTCTTCTGGCGCCACTGTACCTTGTCCGTCCCCCTGTAGTTGTCCCCTTGGACCTCTGGTGGAATCGAGCCACGTGTTATGGACCTGATGTTCATCTGAATAGTTATGTCCAGGGAACATATGGGTCTTGAATCTCGTAGTGATGACTTCTTTGTACCTCTTAGATAAGATCCACTGCTCCAAGTCTTCGAGACCAAGGAACTTGGCCTCAGACAGAAGTTTGTTATATCCCACGTAGTCGAAGCCCTTCTCCCTCGTCCAGAGCAACGGATATATGCTGGGTCTTTTGATATAGGTGAACAGTATTGGCCAGATCTCAGGGTCTGTATCGATGGGGAGCGAGCCGTCGGGCAACAGATCGATTCCAGCCCAATTACCGCCGCAGAGCGCCGAAGTAAGGAACGCTCATAAGGTCGGATTTTCGGATGCGATGTTTGCGGCCGTCTACGTCGAGGGCTACGAAATTGCCGTCAGGGATCGGGGCGTCGCGAGGGAGGGCGAGTTGTTGAGGGGCGCGCGGCGTGCGAGCTGTGCGAGGCGTTCGATGCGTCGATTTCCATGGCGCTGACATTCGATGTCATGATAGAGGACTGGGCAGGGAGTGAATCTAGGAGGGACTGACCAGCGGTCGGTGTGATGGGAGCCGATTGATGTGTGAAGTGATGAGAGATGGCAGACCGAGGAAGACGCGTCTCCAAACGCGCCAAGCCTTGCCCCGCTCGTGCTGTCCGCTGCTCCCTCGAGAAGGATTCCCTCCCCACCAATCCAACCCTGGAGGAACTCAACAACCTTTGGGAAACCACACTATGCCCTGCCAACCTTTCGCTAATGACGTGCTGCAACGCGTGTGGTTGGGCTCTCGATTACTTCCATACCGGCACCAATTACGCCAAACACAACCCAGTTCACTTCTGCGACGCTTTCTCTAAAATCCAGATGTCGCTGGCACTCCGTGGCTGTCACAAGGTCTTCATCTTTGCGGAAATGAGAACATTTTAACACTGTAGTATCTTGTTCTGGGTCGAGGCGGAGTAGATTGCCCATATGCATGACCACGAGCGTGCATAGCATAGGAGGGCAGAGAATCCAGGTGTTGTCAATAGTGATGTGGGTAGATGTTATGAAAGCGGAATATCAGACATTGTCTCTGTGCCTAATCTCTTGAGCATGAATCGTGCCACCTCTTATCCGGGTACGGCCCTGACCGTTGTCGCCTCCGCCCGCACATCTCTCTCCCCTCACCTCCCACGGCGATATCTCCAAGCCTCTATTTAGCTCTGCCCTCCGGCGCAGCAACACTTGGGGCTAATTACCCGAGCTGCTCTCTACAACACTGCGTATTGTGACCTCCTCACCGCTGCGCGTCTATATCACGACTCCAGGCAATGCCGCCAAAGACCATTACGGAGGAGATCGACGACGACGCCGACGATGAGATCAACAGTGAGACCCACGACGACACCAACGGCGACATTGAAGACGAAGACGAACTTGGCATCTTCCCTACAAACGATGAGCTTATAGCAATCGCAGAAGAGGATCCCACGTCCGCAGCAGGGCTCGCATACCAGACTCCCTTTGGCGCTTTGCTCTGGCAATTGACCCATCGTCACAACACCTGGGTTAGTCCCATACTGTTCGAACACATGACGAAGCCCGCAGATACCAGCTCGTTCCTGGGCTACCCTACAGCAGGCCCCCTACGGAAGCATTATTACCTCACAGCAGGCTTCCACTACCATGCGCAACTCTACTACGATGCTATTAGGGGCGATTCCAGTGCACCAAGCGGCAGGCCAGTAGACACAATCTTCACCAAGCCTCAGCTCCGCATAAGCGAAGAGTTTCCGCCGCACCTGAGCACACGCCTCCGAGGCTACGAGAAGAGTGAGGACAAGGCAAAGAGCCCAAGCGATACTGTCCTCGATGTTTCAAAGGTCTTGTACGGTTTGAGCGCCATGACAGACAAGACATTGCTCCCAGACAAACCTCGCTCAAGGAACAGGTATAAAAGATCCGACCGCCCTCGACGTCCGTTCATCGTGGACGGCTTCAGACGCGATGGAGCTGCGCTTGTCGCCTGAGCACTGGTCCAGGACTGCTACGCAGTGAGTCTTGCACTGCCATTTACCTGTGTACTCTTGGTAACGTCTCCAGGTGCAGCGATGTGTTCCTATCGTCTTCAATCAAATTGGCACCTATATTTGAGCAGATCAAACCTCCGGCCGTGGCAGTACACTTGGGAAGATGTTCGCTCCACGGTCGCAGGCGCTCTTGGTAGATTGGACAAACGGCACAAGCTGGAAGAAAGGCGATGTACGATGGGATGTCGAGGACGTGTTTGTCGAGGTGGCCGAGCAGCTCAACAAGGACGGACGACGCGACCATATCCCCCCATACTGGCGCGACTGTGTTACACGAGACCTTATTAGCAGCGTTGGTACCTAGGCAGTAGAATCAATCTCAGACTCTTACTCTGCACCATTATCAACTTCCCTGTAAGGTTGAGTTGGCCATGGGTCCAGATCGGCAGGCCCAGAATTAGAAGGCCTGTACCAAATTCAACACTGCATCCTCGTCGTGTCGGCCCTAGTAATGAGGCGACGATTCCAGTGATTAGAATAGAGAAGGGCAACTACAAGCATGGCCCACAAGACGTAGCAAGGAAGCACATAGTCTTCAATCATCTCCAGACCGCTCTCTTGTCGTATCTCAAGTTGCCTTATACACCGTCTGCACGCTCTCTCCTCTATGATCACCCTTTATGTTTCTTGTCGTGGTCACTTAAATGTCTCGGTGGTGCGAATCCTGATTCACCGCGGAATCCAGACCATTCACTCACCACACTAAGCTAAGACAAACGCACCACACGTTGAGATATATATCCGACCAACGTCAGAATTGCGGCTTCAACCGTCACATAAAACTTATCCTACCTTGACAATACCAATTCAACGCGCACACCCCAGCAACAATGGACGATATCTGGAGCGACACGGAGATGAGCGAGACATCGTTTACCACTACCGAATCATCACCGCCGCCATCTCCCATCCTGACAGACTACCAAAACAACCTCATCGCCACCTATGCGTTCCACAGCGATAGCATCAGCGACCTCATGAACATCGCTGTCGACCTTGAAATCAGCGTGCGCCGCGAGCGCGACGAACCGAGCCTCCCATATCTCACCGAGGATTTGGAAAAGACACGAGGGGAGCTGGTGTTGCACAGGGACGCGAAGCGCAGGATTGAGAGGAACCTGAAGAAGGAGAAGGAGAGGTTGAAGATGGTGGTTGGAAATGGGTCAATCATGGCGAAGCAACAGTTGAACGAGATGGCTCGTTATATGGAGGTGGACAAGACGATTGAGTGTCTACGCTGAGAGATCCGTGGGCTATGTCGCGCAGACCTGCATATCTAGAAGGGGTCTACGGCGTCTGGTGCAAGGGTGCTTTGACAAACACGACGTGCATCAAGTTGGGTCTGGGACTGAGAGGACGCAGTGCACAAAACGGTTTCATGCCTTTTTTGGCATGTGATTGATGCTCTTTCTCATACAAGTAACAACGAGTGCTTATGTGAATGGGGTATACTCTTAATCGCAACCATCGAAGCCGGACTAGACGAGCAAATGACAACCAGAAGTTGGAGATTACGGAAGTGTACAGGGTATTGTTACAAACAGTACAAATACAAATACAAACAGCCCATAACGTAAAATCATGCGACAGTAAGAGTAGCGGCGCTTGGGGTGGTGCGCTTTTGCTAAACGGTCTCCTCCGCGTCTCCATTCGATACCACGTCAAATCCGAGCATCGGATGCGTCACCTCTCCCCAACACCACAAGCAGGTCTTGTTCCCAGCCTGTCGCCCACAGGCGCAATGTTCTTTGTGTTCAGCGAACATTGTATCGAGGTCAGTTTCTTCCGCCTCGTAACAGCGTAGGCATAGCCAGCGGTCAAGGAAGCGATTACGCAAAGTGCACTGACACTGAGAGTCTTGAAGACTGCGTCGGCTATCCGAACCGTCTTTTGGGAGGCAGTCGTTGCAGAACCATCGTTTCCTTTGCTCTGTTGCTTGGTATAAGGCTCGAAGGACGGGCGAGGGGTGCACGACGTTTGAAGACGCCGATGCGGCCAAGGTGTGACTGCCGAGATCTAACTCTAAGAGCTCTTCGACACACTCTGGTAGACCGAAACTATCTTCTTCAAAAGGAACGTCGATGTAGCCTTGGTCGTGATGTGGTGCACTGGAACCATGCGCGGGACTTTCCCATTCTGGCGCTGAGTGATCACTAGACATGTGATGTGGGCTGAGAATAGGTATCTCAGAGGGCGATAACAAGATAAAGCCGCTAAAGTTGGGCAGCTCATCTTCATCACATGGCGTCTCGTAGATGCTCTGGTAGACGCAGTGGATGCGGCACTCGTCGCAGGTGCTGACTTTACATCTTGAACAGGGTCGACACTCCGTATCGGACTCTTTTGCGCCGCACTTGATGTACTCAGTACAGTCATAAGCATCGAAGAAGGTCGACTTCTTGTGACGCTTGTTGCGGATCCGTACACCCCTACCAGAACACTTGAGTTTGCCCAGCAAATTCTCCAAGCTACTGGATTGCGGTAGTATCGTCTTGTGCATAGTCTTTGAGCATAAAAGTAGCGCCATGAGGTCGTCTGGGTAAAGGCTTGATATGATCATCTCCAGTAAGCCATATTCGTGGAACACTTCCATGAGAGGACATCGCTGCCTTGACACAGCCAGACTATCCACTCTTGTCTTTTTGCGCGCCTCCATTTGCTCACCACACGACCTCTTGCGCTTTGTAGTCTCCATGGTCTCCCGTTCTCGATAGTCTTGATCCCAGGTAACTCGTGGTTCTGCTGTCCTATTGGTGGACACCCGGTGGTCCAGTGATTGAGTAGCCATATTAGCCTTGAGACTCCTAAGAAAGATGAGCAAGGAAGACCAAGGACGTCGGTGCGTCAGTCGAAGTCATCATGGGCCAGCAGATGCACCATGAGAGTACCGGCTCATGAGCACCAGCGAGTCCGCGCAATGACGAGAAGCGCATCTCAAGACGACGTACTTGTCTCTCACGTCGCAACGTGGTTCTAGCCTTCCGCGCCTCTGATAGCGCTTAACAGCTTTCAGTACCTGGATCTGGGTCCATCTTGGCGTTATGTTGACAATAGTGTGGGGTACGCTCAACAGGCGGGACGAGATGAACAATGGCGTTGTATTACCAACACCTCGCAGCAAAGTGGGGCGTCTATTTCAGAACCAGGGCGATTCAGAAAGAGCATGAGAAACGATGAGGAATTTTTAGTCTCGTCTATTTTGACCATCGTGGACAAACGGGGAGATGCGGGATCACGTTCCGGTAGCGGCCGACTGACGAATAAGCATCCATGACCTAGTGATGCCTCGGTCATTGCTTCTTTCCGTTTCCCCTGACCCTTCACTCGACTTCGCGACACTGTTCGGATGCATGCAACAGCATATGCGCAACGCACGCGCGACTCGACTTTACCACCGCCCGTCACGTTTTACCACGCCTCCGTTGATTCCGATCGTGCCAATCACTGGCTCTTTCATAACGTTGGTATGCGCGACGCACCGCTACTAAGCCATCTTCCAGGCATCTGAACCACATTCACGCGTGCTCAAAGCCTCGGGAGGTCGCAACGCTTACCGCTAGCTGTTCCACGTCTTACATCACAGGTGCTTACGATAGAATGATAGTTCTGCACAGCGCTTAATTCGTTTTCTTACATATGCAGACTCGCACCTCTCGAGCTTTCCCATGGGCGATATTTCGAGCCTCCTCCCAGTTCCTTCATTTCGATGCCTAACCACCACCTCCTTTGGTCCCATCTCCTCGCCGCATTGGCATGACCTTATTTCTTCTCATCCGGAATTGAGTAGCAGCAACCGATGTCGAGCACATTGTAGAAGCTGCAGTCGCGCTGAACGTAGAAGCCACCCTTCTTGTAACAAGTCGTTTTGGTAGTGCAAATGCCCGACGGGTCCGACCTTCCGCAAGGCGCGGGGTATGGGTCTTTCGGCGCAGCGAGGGCGATAGAAGCGATCGCGGCGAAGAGAACGAGAACCTTCATCCTAATGTTTGATGACAGATGATGCGGTTTTGATCAATGGAGGTGTTGGTTTGGAATCTCAGAGATTTTTGGAGGTGAGTGAGTAAGTTGACGGCTTGGGTAGTGATATCGCTTTGGTTATCACGCATCAACTGTTTATATAGGCAACAGCCTCGTATCTACGGCGCCACTGACATCGCTGTAGAGGAGAAGCTCATCCAAATGTCCTGCGTCGTAATCCAAATTTAGCTGGGACTATCTGAGCGACTCCGAACTGCCCGAGGCCCGTCCAATCCACGCATCTCTGCGCCCACCAGCCATCACTTTAAGCTTTGCGTATTCGCAGCAGCGATATCGTCATGTTACAATCTGGGCCAATGTAAACCTCCAACCGTGGACGTTGCGATAGCGCTCATATGCCTAAATTGCGTCGCAGCGTTTAGCGAGGAATGCAATCTATCTTCCCCGGATTTTCGTGTGGCCAGCACTTCTGATAAGTCGCCCACATGCGAGCTAGACATTTTACCATATGAAACGGACGTACTGTCCTTCGCGGCTCGGATACCAGGCAGATATGACGTCGCTGTAGCATCCAGTGCTGAAATTCGGTCGCGTCGCGGTTTCATCGAGGCGAAGAACGTATGATCTGATAGAATACCAAGGCAGTTAAGACGGCACTACTTCTGCCTTGGAAATCTACACCGGGTGCAAGTCCGCAGAAGTCAGTCGCACCAGCAAACTACCTCACTATGCACGCTCCAGATCTCTTTGGCACAACACTCGTGACTCACTGTGGCTACGAACGCAGCCATGTTAGACCATCAGCGCTACGTCGTTCTTGCGGAAATTCCGCACGCTGCTGCGCATCATTGCAACTTTGCCACGTGGGTGTGGCAAAGTAATCGTCGTAGGTCCTTCACGCGCACGTGATGCGACGTCTTGTCTTAACGGAAAAGCAAGTCTCCCCAGGGCAATGTTGCTAG